GCTTTGCGGCGGGGAAGAAACGCCGTGGCACGCAATGAATTGGAAGTTGATCTGTCAGCACTATCCTTATCTTCAGGGCAGATGTTTTTATTTATTTTGGCTTATAATTCCTTTTACTAAATGTAGTATTTCATCTCGATGTACTCCGTCTTTGATATGATTTAAATCAAATTCCTCGTCATTATAATTCGCTTCCGATAGCGAAGAAAGTGACAGAGGTTATTGAAAACGGAAAAATTTTGATTGACAAATTAGTCGGTATTCTCGACACAGCAATTACAGGACTTGAACAATGGAACTTTGTAACTGAAACAAGAAATTATGTCTGTTTAATAGAATTAAAGAGAAAGTATTATCACATAAAAACGAAGCAACTTAAACAACTTACATTGAAAGAAATGTTTAATAAAGTAAACAAATAAATATTAAGCTTTTTTTTTTTTTTTTGTAAATTTTGATACCCTTTAGATCATAATTGTTCTTTATTTCATAAATTACGGTTCATATTTTTAATTTTGTAATTTCTGCATGCCATCTTACCAGATTTAAAGTGATGATCTATAATCCGGAAAAATCGATAATCCGGAATCGCCGAAGTCCCGATGAGTCCAGATTAACGACTTTTGACTGTACAACTATGTATTCTCAGGACGATGTAGTTTTCTTTTAAATAATATTGTGATAGTTCACAGAAATTTCTCCATTTCCAAATATAACAAATATTTATAATTTGTTATATTCTTATTGCAACTGCATTCTTCAAAATTTCCATATATTCTGGCATACCAGCTCACCTTTAATTTCAAACTACATTTAAAATTTTTAGGTACATTTGGCATATATTGCACATAGATTTCTTTATGAAGAAACCTGATAGATACATATGTAATGTTATTCATCCCAAGATTTTTTTCCAGTCCTTCAAAAAATGGTTTCAAAAAGCGGCATTTAACGCAGGTCTGCACAAGAATGTTACTCAGCTCTTTCATGAAAAGAAAGGCATAATTTCAAGTAAAAATACACTTCCAACCGGAATGAACTCACAGAATTATAAGTCAGATGTTTTCTTATTCTGTAATCACTTAAAGACATGATTTTGAAGCGAACATCGAAGGCTTTATTAAATCACATTTCTTTTAGCTATGGTTTCAAATACAAAATCATTCAGTTTGCAAAAGAAAATGGAAATCATGCTGTAGGAAGTATATTTCGTGCCAGTCAAAGCTCCAGAAGTAGATGGGAAAAAAAATAAAATCCCAAAAATTCACATGCCAAAGACTAAAAGTGCTTTGAATAAAGCACTAACAAAATAGGCTCTTCTAGAAGAAAGTGTTGCAAATTGAATCCTAGAAAATCACCAGAAAGGGTTAATTGTAACAAGACACAGCATATGTTTATCTGCCTTAAAGTAGGCAAAAAAGAATGAAAATGAGAGTGAAAACAATAAAAACACTTTGAGTTGGTGCAATCAATTTATGGCATGGAATAATTTAATTCTATGAAAACAAAGTCTCACAAAGTCTTCCAAAAGATTTGGAGAACAAACTAATAAGTTTCCCGAAGCATGTTATTGACCTACAAAGGCAAAAAGAAAAATTATTTACTGTCACATATTGGAAATGTGGACGAAACTTCAGTAAGGTTTGATATGATAGAAATTAAAACAATTAATGTGAAAGGAACAAAAAAGGTTTACACAAACCAGGGTTGCTACTCAAAGAGGAGAATGAAATTCTCTGATTTTCAAGGTATTTTTTTAAAAGCTCCAGTCTGTCTGTGTAGTGCATGTTGGCTGTGCTGAGAAGTAAATTAATTATGGTACCACTTGAAAACACAAAAATTTGCCAATTACATATGACATATATATATAATCCCCAAAACATTACTATTATAACTATAGTAGGAGTTATTTTCTCCACTAAAGATTGGAATTAGAATCTACCCAATTTGGATTAAAAAATGCCTTTTTGTGGAGACATTTTGAAGCTTAACAAAAGATAGAAATCTATTTAATGAAAAAATATGCATTAAATTTTGCGATAGCATGTCATCATACTGCTAGAATTAGACTCAGGATTATGCTAGAAAAAACTGCCTGAAATTTGAAAGTATTATTAACTAATAAATAAATAAATTTAGAGGGAAGAAGCCACATCAAATGATACGAATAACATTAAAATAAAGTTAATTACTTAAAAACAGAATTACGATAATCAGTGATATTTTGGCGATTATAGTTTTATTAAATGGTTAATTTTTATTTTACTACGAAATAACATATAAGGCATTTATTAAAAAGAAAAAAAATTTTAAATATTTTGCGATAAAATCCTAGTATACACTATGGCCATGGCACAATTTTTAAAATTGTTGCCAACACCAAAAGGCCCCGTTTACAGCTCAATATAATGTCACCAAATCCTGTATACTAGGATTAAACCGATTTTGTTTTATACAAGAATGAAAAGGTATTTTCTTTAGTTCAACATGTACTGCACATGGGCAAGCAAGTCTCTTGATTCTCAGGGGCATTGGCTGCCAATGTACTTTCATAAGATTGCCACCCCAAATTTAAAAAAAAATGCTTATTGATTAATAAAATTTTTATTTCATACTCACTCAGTACTTACATATGACAAATTGTACAAAAAGTACCTAGATTAGACAAGAACGTACCATGAATATAAAATATTTAGGAGTGGTGTAGTGAGAGTTCAGCCGCCCCTGATTTTGGCTGTTCGCGTACTTTTACAAGTTGCACCCCCCACTAGGAACAACCCTGTTGATTCTCGAGGTTACTGGAAATTTGCTTTGCCTTTCTAAAGAACAATCTGATTGGAGCTATGAAAATTGGCTCTATGCCAGCTGCCCAAATGACACTTACGCAATACATAATTCACCAAGAAAGTGATCCCTTTGTTGGTGCAAAACTAGTTTTTTTTTGGTATCGCCATATGAAATTCCCTTATTCTTCCAAATTTTGACTAAAATATTTAAATTCCCCAATTCAATTTTTTAATTCCTTGACTTTTACGGTTTTTCAGGTAGCGTGGCAACACTAATAAAAGCAACAGATCAGAAAAAAGATCTCAGCTCATCATACTGCGTTCCCACTTAGCATATGGTAAAAAATTTAAACTCATGGTTATTATTGAAAGAAAGAAGATGCTGAAATGCAACTTCCCTAATGGTGTTTTCATTCATGTTCCCAAGAAACTGGATAAGAAATGTTTGGCAAAAGTGTCCTGTTGTCTTAAAGAATCTAAAAAAGTCTTTTAGTTTGGGACAGCTTCAGATCCCTCCTAATGGATAATACAAAAAAATTGCTGAAAGAGTATAATACCGACATGGCAGTTATTCTAGATGGATTAACGCCATTAGTTCAGTGTTTAGATTACTGTATCAATAAACTATTCAAACAAAATTTTAAATGATAGTAGAATACATGGATGTTAGAATGTGTCATACCAGTTCAGACGTTGAGAGAATGGATAATAAAAGCAAGGAATGAAGATAGAAATGAGAAAATTAAAAAGTATAAAAAAATATAGTATGCCTAACAATCTATATGGAGCATAAGATGACTATTTATTTATGGACCAGAGTAAGAGTTGTGGCAGTGCTTTATCGACTCCATTAGAAGGTCATTAGAAAGGCCTATGAATCACAAAACTTCAGCTAACAGTTAAAACCAACTTTGTCTAACATTTAAAACAGGAAAGCGCATCTTGCAAGAGCTAAATATTTACACATTAACACATACACAAGAGCCGACGCCAGAGAGCGGCAATGAAAGGGCAAAATAAGGTTAGAAATGAGTAGTAAGTCTCCGCAAAATAGTTGAAGTTTTTACCCTGGTGCTATAATGAGCAAATATGCATATTGCACAGCAAAGATCAATCCTGCCATTCACTACAATGAGGATTTCTGCCATAGTACTCCTCGCTCGCCTAAGAGGGGAGATGCCTCTGTGGAGGACATTCTAAGGAAAACTGGCTCATATACATGTTACAGATGGGGATAACAATGAAAAAGCCCTTGCAGCCAACCCGTTCACATAGACAAATAATATATGAATTTAAAAAAAATCTTCTCTTGTCCATTGCTCTGTGGGTGGTGGTTGCACTGTGAAACCACCGCGCGTCTAGGACTTTGAAATTTACTGAGGTAGTAGGGGAAAAACTTACCTTTCTTCGTGCATGTTTCCAATAAATGACGAAATTTACGAATTTAAAAATGAATTATGTAAGAATTGCATTACATGTAATTTTTTACATTATTTTACAAAGTAAATTGTCAGAAAAAATTAAAAAATAAACATTTATGTAATTTTTCTATAGCAGTGAAAATATAAGTACCTACATAATAAGGACATTTGGCTGAATGGATTAAAAAGCTCAGTAAAATAAGGATAAAAAAAAAGACTCAATTTTTTTTTTTAATTTCAAAGAACAAATTTGTTTTGTGATACTGTTCAAAGCATGTTTTGTCTTTTTAGTACATGCATAGCACGTTTCGCACATATATCTTCTATGAGGTTTCTTCCTTGTGCTACAAAATGTACACTGCCTGGATCTAAATTTCACTGGTATATTTCGAGCGTTATTTAGTTTTTTTTTTTTAATCTGGCACATGAAATTTGTGGTTTTTTATGTTAATGGGGGGGGCATGGCCTTTTTGGCTTTGGTACAGACCATTTGTTTTCCATTCATACTTATTTTATTCGTATTTCGTCCCAAAATATTCAGAAAATATTTTTAGTTTAAATAAAACTTTAAGCGATTTCTATTTTTAATTATAGAAAAGTATATTTATATTAAATTTAAACCACAGGAAATAATTTATAAAATCACAATACTAGCTTGGGGAGCAAGTGTGTTGAGGTCAAAGAAAAGTCTCCGGAAAAGAAAGACCTTTTTACTGGAGAGGTGCATGTATTGTTTAGTAATAAAATAACTCTGTGGTTATAAAGAATTAATAAAGGGTTACATTATACTCACATCAGAACTAGATGCTTCAAAATGCCATTGTTTATTATCCAAGGATACAATGATGAATTCATGATCATCTGAATCTGAAATTTAAGATCCATCTGACATTAATAAATACATATATTATATCTTGTAAGAAATTTACAAGAAATTAAGAATATATCATTAACTAAAATAATCTTTCTTTAATGATGACCTTTATACCTGAAAAGGATCATTTTTGCTCAATTAAACAAACATCATATGCTTTTATAGATATTTTAAAGATTTATGCTTCAAATAACTCAAGCCAAAACACCAATATTTAAAACAATTTTGTAATTATTTATAATATTCAAACATCTAAATTAAGTTGCTATTTAAACTATAACCTTTTGAATGCACTGAAATCTTCCATTCCATGGAAGACTTGATGATTACAATAACTTTCTTTCAGTCAGTCACATACTTAATTAATAAGCCTGTAAACAAGTCTATGAATAAAATAATTTAAATTGTTAATATTTACACATACTATGCATTAAAACAGCAGCAGTTTGCCCAATGAAATTAGAATTCATACAGTAAACAGTGTAATTTCATCTAAAAATTTTAACCAAATTTCATAGAACTAATATATACTAATTTTACTGCTTGAACTGGGGATAATGTCTTAATATGATAGAGCTATTTCAATAAAACATTCGTATAATACTGTTTTACTGCTATATATTAGAAAGAATGGACTGGGAGATCAGAAACAGCGATTGAGATTTGCTTGTGCTGTTTCCTTTAGAAGCTCTTCCTTTTGCAACTGCTGAACAATAAAGTTCATGATGTGCTTTATGGACTACAATGGATCAACTCGATGGACTGATGGATTACAAGTCTGCAGATGATGTAGGTATAGTACATCAAGTTCATGCACAGGCTATGCTGAGTGGCATGAACACATAGCACAACACTGTTGCACTGAAAAAAATGGTTCTCGAGTTATCTTATAGGAATAGCCATACCACTGGCTTTAAAATTAAATCAGCATAAGATTGAGCTATCAGTGCTCCAGGAAAAGCAGCTAAAGAGTTGTGATTCAGTATGAGACATGGAAAATATTAATGATGCCAGAAAAACAAATTTTAATCAATTAATATTTGAACTGGAGGCATTTCAAACTTCAGTTACTTAAAATTCATCCAGACTGTAACAGGCATTCATTTAAGTTTAAACCTGTATTTAAAATGTTTTTTATAAACTTTTATGAATGTTAACTGTATACGTTAATAATATCTGCTATAATAACTTGTATTTGAAATTACTTTTAATATCTAAAGAAAGGATCATGATTTAGAAACAATCAACAGAACTTGTGTTCACTCAATACTCACTCATAGCTATAATCTCACATTCAATTTTTGACAATCTATCTCAAAGCAACTCACAGATTAGAAAAAGTATTTACTGATAAAAAAACTGGATTACATCTAAAATATATAGTTAAAACACAATTATAACAAAAACAATTTTTAATTATGTTTTATAATATATCCATCGAAAAACAAACCATCTAACGCATCCATGTTTCGGAGTCCTGTACTTTTCATTCTTCTGTGTCTTTTTTTTACAATAGGTGTATCTAGCCTACTTAAAAGAGGATTTGTGCTAGGAACAGCAGGTATTAACTGAGTTTCACTCCCATTTAAAACACCTGTAAAAAAAAAGAAAAATTTGCTTATTACAATGCAAAGACATCACACATAACCTGATAATAAATTTTTAAAAGGGGAAGTATATATAAGGTATATTCTGAATCCTTTCAGCATGCCTTTGTAGTGTTGCGATAGCACACAGGGTACGTATCAAGAGGTCCAAGTTCTAGTCCCGGTGAGGGCATTGCCCATTTTTCATGTCTGCTGCTTCAAAAGTAACTGACTTACATATACTTCAAAAATAACCAACTTTTCAAATTACATTAATAAAAGTATCATATAAGTATCTCCTAGAAAATGTGTGGCAGTGTTCAGGAAACCAGAAGAAATAAAATGCTGTTGTTTCAGCACACTGCTCTCTTTAGAAAATATGCGATTTCAAAAACCCATTGGACAGACAAATGAAAAGACAATGTGACATTATTATTGATATACAGTATCCTGCTCAACAAATTTCATAATAAGTGCTCAAACTGCTGACTACTGACATTGCCACTCAGATGGGATAGCATTTACTGATACTGACTGCCATAGCAAAGAGCTTAGATTCAAATCCTAGAAAAGGCATGCATGTTTGTAAGCATGGAAGCTGAAACACAGGAAGCTGAAAGTCCTTTGGACAGGCTGGTGTTAGGGAAAGAGGGATGGCAGACCCTCGAACTACTTATCAGGAAGTTTTTGCACAAAATTAGGGTAGAAGTACAACAATTTAACTATGCCCAATGATACCTAATGCCTACCAAACAGAATGCACACATAAGGATTTGCTTTAACCTGTACCTGCATGTGCAAGTGAAAATTTGGAAAAAAAAAATATATATATATATATATATCCCAAGTCACGCTTTTCAGACATGAAAAATGTACGTTCAGTTTTATCAAGCAGCCCAGTAGAACTCCAAATACAGAACTGTCCTTTTTTTTAATTTGGTGTACATATATGTAAATGAACTTTATAATAAAAATACACTTAATCACATATTTTGGTTACAAAGGCCAATTCATTTTGATAATGAAAAACCTTTCTGCAATTTTTTGCATTAGATAAATTCCATTTTTTGGGTGAATAATCCACCATCTTCAAGAATTACTTTAAAATTTCAATGGTAAATATGTATAAAGAATGTATTTGTCCCTCCTTTTCAATGCTGAGTTTAGACTCTAAATGCACAATAAACTGGTAAATCAATAACTGGTTTGCTTACATTTTACATAATGTAAATACAAACAATCTCAGGGAAAAGAATTTGTTGAAATTTCCTTGGCATGCAAAATTTGGGGGGGGGAACTAGAAAAGAAGACTAGAGAACAGTTTTTTAAATAAAGCTTAAATTTCAAAGCGAGTATTTTCCATAATTGCTAATGTAGCGATCACATGTTTTGACGAAGCCTCGGTAGTTGCTTGCTCGTGTCGCCATCCATTAACACCAGTGAGAAATACAGCATTGCATGAGTGGGACCTGAACCTGGGTCAGTTTATTACGGATGGCTTTTGGTAGTACATTTAAAATATGAATTAGATCTTTGCTGCATAATTTCTTGAGATTAAATATTTGAAAATGATCTAGAAAATGTATTAAACATGTACAGTACAAAAAAATGTATTTTAATTTCTTCTTTCTTTATTTTATAACCACTCAGATAGTGATTGAATTAATAGAATGTGTATATTAACTGAAAAAAAAGAAAATTCAATAAAAAGATTTAGAATTTGTCTTGTAATTAATGCATACATGCAGAATGCAACGACAAATGTAATGCAGGGTTTCAGTTTTAGGGGAAACCTTACCAATGGGCTATTTGAAAAAAGGGCATTTATTTTTGCTATTGAAAAATTTGACAAATACAATGCAAAGAAAATACTTTCAAAATAATTTTTATGCTCTAATATAAAAATTATTCAGAAAGCAATTTCCCTGGTGGATATGGCAGCATCAGCAATGTATCCCTGATCCACTGATGTATCTCCGATCTTGCTACGCATTCCTTAGCTGATGTATACTACACCTGCCTATGCTTGATGCTCTCTGTAAAACTGAGTTTCATGCACATCTGCTCTTATGTGCAACACAGTAGACCACCAATAATAAAGTATTTTTACTTTCAAATCCTACAAATCGCATTTCTGGATGCAAATAAGAAAATATTTAGCCAAGCATTATAAAAACTGTGCAAAATTGTAGGAACGAACAACAACAAAAAAAAAAAAAAAATCGGGAGGATTCAACAAGTCTGCTTTTTCTTTTATCACTTACTCTGGAATGCAAAGAAAATATTTTTAAAAAGTTTTAATTTAAGAGTGTTCCCTCCCAGTTTGCAGACAGGTGCCATAAACCGTAGCACTGGGTCTATCTCTACATAATTACAATGGAGAAGCCTAAATTGCCTTTTGAGCATGGAACTGTGATTTTTGATTATGAGAACTCTGGGAGGAAATAAGATAAACATGAAAACTAAAAATAAATGCAAAAAAATCACTTTCTAGACCAAAAAAATATTTCAAAACTATTATAGAATTTAAAATCTGTTAATGCCCAGTATACTTTAACTACCAAGCTCTGTAACATATGGAATATTAAAAATGTATGAAATGTGTTTCACATTCCATGCATTATTAAAGCACTCTAAATAAGCTATTGCACAAGGAAGGAAAATGTAGCAATTAATCTAAGTCCATTTTTATTTTACAATAATTCACAAAGTGTTGATTTGGTCAATAAATCTAATTACATAATACTATTTAAAAAATCTGCAGGTACCTAAGATTACTTGCTTTATATACAAATGGATGAATTTACTGTAAATTTAAAAGGAAACACCATATTTAAATTCGTTCATTTAAAAAAAAATGGCAGAAAATTAGTTCCTTGAAAAACTTTTTAAACATTTGCTTATGAAAAATATAGTGGGAATGAAATTGACATTTATGGTTCATGCTTTGGAAATTTCCCTTAGAGTGAAATTTCTTTGATTTCAATTTTACATTGTTGGTACTTCTTGCTGTCTTTATCATTTGAAGATTTTAACACTTGAAAAAAAGGTTTTTGATAGCTTTTAAAAAAGAACAACTACAGAGTTAGTTTTCAATTGATGTTTTAGTTTCTGACTAAAAAAAAAAGGGAGGACAGAATTTTTAACTTATCCCCATCCCCTATATTTTTGTCAAGTTCAAAATTTCGAGAAATTTTCAATTCAAGACTTAAAAAGAAAAGCTTCAAACAGTAATACATGTTTATAACAAAATATTCCTTTTCTTTAAATTTACACACAAAACTTGTTTCTACTAAAAGCTCAAAGTACATATTTTCATATATTTCAACAATATATTTTTCAAAATAAAATTGATCAGATTAATAATTTTTTTTCAGCAAACTTGTTATATATTGGTCAGTAAAAATACGTACTAAAGTTACGAGGAAAACATACTTTTAAGAGTGATGTCGAATGATCAAAAATTATTATTTAACAATTAAGCATCCCGTCCTTTTCATAGCCAAATCTCATAAAATATAAATTCAAAGGCCTATGATTTCAGCCACTTAAATGAATTAAGCAAAAATTAAGAGTAGGATTTTACAACCAGTGGAAATGAATCACTTAAAATTAACTAATCTAATTCCATAATTAAAATATATAAGCCACTTAATTTAAATCTGGAATTATACCTCCAGCGATAGATAGATTACTTATGTCAGAGGCCAGCTCACTGACTTGATGTGAAGAGGCACTAGATGATGCTCCTTGAGTACGAGATCCTCTAGGCTTTTGTCCAGGAATTTTTACTGTAGTGTGCATCAGAGGAATTTCTTTACCATGAACATCATCCATGTAATCCTAAGAATATAATAAAAAAAATGAGAAAAGTAAGTAACGTAAAGGAAACTGAAACATCAAAATGTCTATCAACTATAAAAATATATAACTTACATGAAGGCTAGGATGATATGTCAATCTTCCATCACTTGTTAAAGTGACATACTTTTTTTTCCACTCTTTATTGAGAGCTTTACAGCTTCTTTTATAAAGATAACCCTAAAAAATCAAATTGCTACTTTTTAATTTTCTATTGAAAAAATTCGACTAAATGTTTATAAAATAGGTGATCTATCAACTTTAAATCTCAACAGAAATATGATGAATGCCTGTAGTAACTAAATATGGTAGAGAAAATAACATTACATACAGACATTAAATGCAGTACATAATACAGACAATAGAGACATTAATGAAACTTGAAATTAAAGTCCTTTAAATGCCCCTCTTCTGCTTGGATGCATGCACTGTTCGTGGCGAAGTGGGAAGACTTCCATGATAAATCTTAGCATGTCCTATGAAACAGCACAAACTTCATGAGTAGTTGCATAGCCTAAACTCCAAAGCCATAGCCCAAAGTTGTTAATTCTAGCAAGAATGATAGCCAAGTCAAATATCCAAAGCAGGAAATCTGATAATTTGGAATGTCAATCGAAGTACAGTTACACTTGTGATTGCTGTTACATCATCCTGTTGGAATCAAACTGTATTCAACTGGTCTTGCCCCCAGTTTTAGCAATTTTCACTGTTCTACCACAGCAAATGCTGAGAATCTCTGCCACAGCCATGTGAGGGCTTCAAATGTTGCAATACATAACTTTACTGGCCAATGTTCCATTGTATATTAACTGACTGCCTCTTACTTCTCCATGCATGTTAATATGTCACGTGCACATCTGCATGTTGGTAGGACGATCAATTTAATTTGATAGATACAATATGTACCACCCTACATTTTATTCATTGAGTGAACATATTTGGTGTAAGAAAACGTTCTTCGAAGACCACTTATACTGATGATGGGTAATTTTTATTTAATTATTTATGCAAAATTGAGTAGCAATAATTAAAATTTCCAATTAGAATACAATAGTGATGAATTATTCTAGTACTTTCCTGTTATGTTACATGTTTTGTTTCAGTATTATGCTCTGTTATGTAATTTAGTAGAGAAATAAAATATACATAACAATATTAAATATGCTTTTCCAAAGATAACAAAATTATTAAGAAGGTAACAAGTTCATGGTATGGATGACTTAAATAAATTGACAATTATTTGTGAAGAATTAATTTAACTGGAATCATTGTAAAAGAAGTAAGATGGCTGCAAGTGAAAATGAAACAAGTTTTTTTGAGATGTACTTCATTCCAAGTAATGGAAATTTCAAATAACAGTATTAATTATATCATCTGATTTGTGTAACATAGTAACAGGTAATGAAAACTTAAGTGATATCAATGATGACGCTAAAACATTATAATGGATTAAAAGATATGTCAAAGCTCAAGAGATAAAGATCCATTGAGGCATATACTAGATTCTGATCAATAAATATATACCTTGTCACAAGATATATTTCATATTAAATACCAAGAAGGAAAGATGTAGCTTTGCACATTAGTAAAATAGAAAATCTAGCATACAGAATAATTTAATTCAAAGAACAAATCCATTAAAAAATTACAATTCCTAAATTTTGGTAAATTTGCCAGTTCAATATAAATATTTCATTAGTGCCTGGAAATCGATGCTGAGTGATGACAAAATAGGAACAAATTTAACAGCTAGATTAATAGCAGAAGCCAGAAATGAAGCAGGTAACATCAGAACAAATACAGTTGCATTTAATGTTAAAGAAAAAATACCTGCTTTGATTGTCAAAATGTCAGTCACATTGCTTGTTTTTGTAATAAAGCAAACTGAGAAGAGGTGTAACAAACTGCTGCATCAAATGTGACAAATTTGGACATTTCGCTATTTAGTATAAAAATAATTTTCTCAAAAATTCTACCAGCCACGATATCCATTAAATGCTCTTGAGAAACACAGAATGATTGAATGAAAAGGAATCGATACTCCAATAGGACTAGAGTGATTGAAACTACAAAAGCTCAGAAACATTAACTTAATTTCATGGCAATAATGAGGCTTAGTAATTTAGGGGAACTGTAGTGTAGCACTGGCATTTTTAGTTTTTACTATTGAAAAACAGGGGAGCTCAGACGGAAAAGGACATGTAAATTATTTCTCATTGATACTGCGATGAATTAATTTAAATTATCGGTAAAAAATATTATGAGCATTTTTCCAACTTAAGAAATCAGAGTACTATGCCATAGTCATGGTTTCCTTTCCTCATATAGCATATGTAAATTACTATCACATTCTGCTATTTGCAAGATAACAGTCAATGTGACGGCATTTCATTTTCCTTCTTACTATACACTTGCATATTGGTTCAGCACTAGAAATTGCAGTGTTGGATCAGCTAAATTTGTTAAATGTAAATATTTAAGACTACAAAAATTTAAGCTACAGTAACACAACAAATTCCTATGACACTTTTCTGGTTATATATATTTTTCAGTTTATATTAGAAATTATTCCCAGTAAAAATTTTAAGAATCACTAAGATTTCATTACAAGCAACTTCTGTAAATGAGACTCCAATTTAAATTTTGTTAACAGCACATCAGAGGTTTTATCAGGCACTGTTCATACGTGAACCACAGAATATGCAGCAGAAAGAAATAGATGCCCCTTTCTGATTTTCAACCTTCAAATTAGAGGGTGGTAGTATCATTTGAAACAACTTCACTATACATATTGCTTCATTAAATGTAAACAAATCAGCATTAGCTCCATTAACATTTAATTATTATGTTTTTTTTTAATGAATTAGAGCAAAAAATGCAATGCCTGGGAAGGAAGGGAAACTGACTAACATTCGCCTATCATATAGGAAAAACTACGAAAGTGCTCATGAAGTAGCCTGCTCACCAGATCAAACTAAAAGCATTCTTTCCTTTGATCCCACCCCTTGGCTACCAATTGATGCAAACAAATGGAAAATTAGAAATCAAGAGTCAAACAAATGTATATTTAAAAGCTTATGCATATCTCTTCGTGGCATAAAAAATGACCTAATTAAAAAAAATATCAAGGATTGTGCTAAGTTAAAAAAATAGTTTACATACCTGTCTTAGAGGAATCACACGACCACTTCCAACTTCACCATTTTTGTTTTTCTTCTCATCCTCACCTTTTTTCAAAGGCTATAAAAATTAGTAATGCATATGTAACACTTTGAATCAAAGTATAAAAAAAATCAAAATAATTGGCTTTTTTTTAAAACTAAAATCAGATTTTTTTTCCCACCAACGTTATTAAATGGCCACACAAACTGGTGGTTTTCAAAGTAATTAAATTTCTAATTAGATAATGATGTTAAAAAGCAAATACATACATAAATTAATATAAGAATCAGAAACAATATAAATTATATGTAACTTTGCAAATTACCAGCATAAAATATTACAAATATCTTGGCAGCCTTCAGCATTAGTAACCTTTAAAGCTATGATAATTACAACTTACACATACAATATATACTAAAAATAAGTACCGTATTTGACGGCATATAAGACGCACCCTTATTTAGAAGGCCACACACAAGGAAAAGTTTCAATAGTCCGCGCAACAGTACGGTACCACAATACCTTAAAATGTGGTTTCTTTTAGTTCTCATGTTTTGTAAAAGCCAAAATAAACAATGTTTCGTAAAAGCCAAATAAACAATCATTGAATGCAATTACCAAACATATTTTTATTAAGGAAAATTAACAAACGGCAAGCTATTTTGAACATGATATGTGAATTTCGATAATGAATAAATGAATGAACGGCAAGCAATCAAACATAATACAAAATAAAGCAGAAACAACAAAAAACACAGATTCAAGGAAAACGTTGCCTATCATGCATGAAATTAGACTTTAATCACTTTCAAAACCATAACAATCATTTTCCCTATCATCATCATCGAAAACGAGAATATCGTTGTTGCGATGTAATGTGAATGAACTTGATACATGTCTTCGTTTTAAACACTACACTTATATTAAATAATTGCACAATACAAGTATAAACAAGAAAATGACATATAAAATGTATAAACACGAAAACACAACAAAATTGAGAAAAATAGACAGCATTCCAGCTGCCTTGCGAATGTGTTCGTCTGAGTCTGACTGTTCAACTGAATTCAATGTTCTTTGGCATAGTTCCAAATGCGAAAGAGTCAGGTTGAGTTGTTCTGTTCTGGTGAACTGGAACAATCGTCATCACTACTGTTTCTGCCATCGCTAGTATCACCTTCTTTGAATAATGAGTCGTCTTCTGTTCCGTCAAGAGCATTACTGATTCCACACTTCTTAAAGGACTTAACAATTACTTCAGCCTTTACGTCCTTCCAAGATCTTTTTACCCACTCGCACACTTGTGAAATAGAGGGCCGCTTCATTCTACCTGAGGGTGTGATGTGGCTCTCCTATCCACTTGTTTCATCGTTCTCGCACTTTTTCCTTAAATGGCTTATTCACCGATACATCTAAAGGCTGCAATTGGCTAGTCAGTCTACCAGGAATGACAGCTATCTGGGTTTTTAATCCTCTCGCTTTATTCTTTATGGTTTCAGTTCTATGGGCGCTAAACTGATCCAAAACCAAAAGTGAGGGTTTTCTTAAGAGTCCACCAGGTCGCCCCGCCCATACGTTCTGTAACCACAGTTTCATTCCAGCTTCGTCCATCCAGCCTTTCGGATGAACATGAACAATTACACTCATTGGAAGTTTTTCTTTCGGATGAGTTTTTCTTTTGAATATGAAAAACGGCGGTAGTTTTGACCGACACATGTGTCGGCTGAGTCAAAGAATGTCCATGTAAAGAAGGAAAGGCTCCATAGACGTAATGTGACCGTCGAACCTGTTCGAACTTTGACATCAGCTTCGAGCTTTGGCACTTTTTGGTGACAGATATGTCACGCATGCGCAAAATAATTATGGCAGATGTAGAAAAAGTTATGTGTGTCTAGACCTTTATCCGGGTTAAAAATAGCATTTAGTATTGAAAGTTAACCTGTGTCCTACGCTTTTAAGACGCAGGTAACTTTTTTGAGACCAAATTTAGGAAAAAAAGGTGTGTCTTATATGCCGTCAAATACGGTACATGTTGATTTCATAGGAGATCAATGCCATGTATGGCAGACATACATACTAAAAAAGTACCTGTTGATTTTACAGAAGACCAATGCATGCAGCATTTATCACCAAATGATGAAATGACAACCAAATAAAAAGAAATGCCCTCCCTAGATTTGAAATGAAAACAATTTTCAGCTTTACTATCAAATGAAAATGAAGCCAATGCATTCTTCCAAGAAAGCAGTATTTTACTTTTCATCCAAATTTGAAATAAATATGCAGAAACCACACAAAGATTCAATATGAAAAATGGCCGGTAAAAGAAATGCCTCAGCATCAACAACTGGTTTGTTTCTCCAAAAATCACATTTCTGACCGCAGTAAGATTTATATACTTATTAGTCAGAAGAACTTACTGGCCATTTGAAATATAAACTACCATTTTTTTTTTTACAGTAGCAATTTATACATCTAGATGTTATATTTGTACTTTCATTTATTTATTTTTTCCCTGTTAGAGCTTCATTACTTGAGACCTTTTTTGGGGGAGATATGGCACATAAACGTAGCAGCATTTTTTCCTTGGCACTTCAGTTGCCACTAACACCTACATGTACCAAAAAGGTAAAATAAACATATATTTATATCTATAAAAGATATGCAAATAAAAAGAGTAAATATAACTCTGTGAATGACATTTATATCTGCAATCTACATACTTTTCCAAAACAGTTTATGACATTATATCTGTATTACTTCCATTTGAAATCAGCACTGAAATTCTTTTTTCTTTTCATAGGGGCTGCCTTTTTAATACCGATCTGATTTTTCAATTGGTTGTGTACAATTTTTAAGTGTAAAAATATTCTTTGAATATGCTGTTACTAAAAAAATGGGCCTATTTCATGACTTTAGTCTGTCTAATAGCTCTTGGACAGTGAAAATTCCTTTTTTAAATTCTTAATCATTGCGACACGACAATTAGCCAGAAAGTAATTAATTTCCATTCACTAGTATTTTCAAAAAAATCTTAACAGACAGTTTCACTCAAATAAGAACTCCACATAATACATTCCTCAAGAATTCCGAGTCCCACCCACTACCATAAATTACTTCACCCAAGTCTTACCGACTGATATTATTCAAAGCCCCCACTGCCGCTAAGAATTTTCGGACACCCCACACTTATGAGTCAGACATGAAGAGAACACTTTGCCAACTCCCCACTAGAAAGAATGTAAGTTACTTAATACCTTTTTTGGCTTTTACATTCGCTGTTCTTATTATATTTTTATATTATTTTTGATTTGTTTTTTTACAAAGTTTGCATTATTTATCTTATTTTGTAATCTTCTATGTTTATTTCAACTTTACTTTGAATTATATTTCATAATGACAATTTCCAATGTTTAATTTTTACAAATAATATAGAACTCAAATGCATAAACATGACGGTGTCGGGGGCGGTTACTCGAGTTTTTTCGGATTTCTCTACAGAAATTGCTTTTTACTCCAAATTGAATTGGCTAAAATGCTTCATAAGAATAAATTCTTTAAGTATCAGCATTGGTTCGTAATCCCTTCTATTCGCGGAAATATTTGGCTTGACTAGAATTGCCGGTTTGGCTTTAACTTATAACTCGAGTAAAGACGAAAACACCTTCGTATTTACGTTTTTATTAATTATTGTTCATTGAACGGGAGTTGGTTTGTTCCCTTGAAAAGTCAACTAATTTCCGATCAATGACAATGATTACATGTTTTTAATTTTCCTTTTACAATTGAAATTTTATTCTTCATGATGATTTAATACTCAGTCCCCGTTAAAACATTATTAACATTTTACTTTCAAAGTTACTTCAAAAATCTTTCAAATATAACTTACCAGTATGGATTCACTCTTTTAAAATAATTCTACTTTAATTAAACTTAGGAGATAATATAATCAATTAATCAATATTGTTTAGGAAATAAATTATATATATATATATATATACAGTACAAGGTCTGTAATCCGGACGTCCATAATCCAGAATGATCTATAATTCAGAGCTCAAAGCTACAAACTTTATGTGCATAATGCGTTTACGCATGTGTGTGTAATGTATAATGGACGGTATAAGCTAGGCTAAAATTATCTAAGGCATTTCAGTTAAAGTTGCAGATTGTGTTGTTCCTTAATCTTCGAATTGGATCCGGCTTATTATTTTTTGCAGACTGTTAGAGCAATTTTATAAAAGTAAGCTTGAACTTTCTATTGTGTCAAAAAGAGTTTCCAATTCTGGAGCTGTGAAAGGATTTACAAAGTGAAAGCATGTTTCGATATCTATTAAATAAAAAGTGGAATTGCTGCAAAAATGGATAAAGGCCTATCTGTCTCAAAGTTATGCGAAAAGTATGGCATTGGAAAGTCCACTATATATGACACATGAAAAAGGAACTTTTTGAATTTTTTGTGGAAGCATCTTAAACAGCTTACATTGAAAGAAATGTTTAATAAACATATAAATAATAAGCTTTTTATGTAAATTTTGATACCCTTTAGATCATAATTGGTCTTCATTTCATAAATTATGATTTCATATTTCTAATTGTATAATTTCTGTGTGCCATCTTACCAGATTTAAATTGATGATCTATAATCCGAAAAAAAATCTTATCTGGAATTGCCGAAGTCTGGACGAGTTCGGATTACGGACTTTGTACTATATATGCATACAGGAAAAATTTAGCCACACCTATAAAATGCACCATGCAAATGTGGTTTGACAAGTTGTGCAAATAATTAACCTGCAGCACTAATCAGCACAGTGGAGTGATATAACATACGTCTGAAGTGTGGAGCTGGTAGAACGTAAAAAGGCAGATGTGACAAGTTACGACCATTTATAACCACGCTGAAGGCTTGGATACATGACATTGTAATGAAAGATGCCTTTAAGATACAATACGAACAATTCGACAATACAATTTGACAGCAATACAAACAGTTGTCATACTTTGAGAGGGCTAAAAGAAGCCGGTTGGTCAAACAGCCAGGTCTGCCGGTATAGTGATCGAAACAACATGGTTGTTTCCCTGCTGTTGGAACCAGGAGCATTGCTGCCGTTGTGGTTCAGAACATTCCTGGGCAACCAATGTGTTAGACGATCACACAATTAGAAAAACTGCCATGCCTGAACCAACAGTTATATGCTACCACTGATTCAACACCATTTGCCAACTCAAATGGATCCAGGGATACAATTCACAGAAAACTAGGTGATAATGGTAAGAAGAAGAAGATTAAGGCATTCCCCGTATCATGCCATTGACACTCCACCATAAGCAGTGTCATCTTGCATGGTGCCACTTTTGCTCAAGCTGGACAGTTTCCAATCGGAGAAATGTGATCTTCAGTGACGTATCACACTTTTCTCTCAGTGCTGATGACCGTCACATACATGTCTGGAGATGTAGAGGAGAGCAGTCTAATGTAACATGTGTTGCTGAGCAGCACACATACAGAACACAGGGTGTTACAGTCTGGGGAGCAATCAGCTGGGCCAGTCCTTCATTAGTCATGCTGTGAGGTACTCTGCCCGCTTGCAGGTACATTGCTGATATTTTGTAACTGATCATATTGCCTATACTAGCAACTCCTTCAGGTTCTGTTTTCCATCAAGACAATGCTCAGCCACACACAGTACAACTTTCCCAATGTCTTCAACATGTTAAAGTCCTAAGCTGGCCTGCCAGGTTTCCAGATCTGTCTCCTACCAAACATGTTTGAGACATTTTGGGCAGGTAAATTCAGCTGTGAACAAATACATCCTAACTCGCTGACCAGTTGCTCCATTTATGGCACAATGTACTGCAAAAGGAACCTGCCAACTTAATAGACTCCATGCGTAACTGAGTATCAACTTGTATAGCTGCCCAAGGTGGCGTTACCACCTACTGGTTTTCATATTCTTTGCATTGTTACTCGTAAATAAAACATATTTTTCACACCAACTTTTCATCATTTGTTTATCTACTCAAACACTATGCTACTGCCAAGTTTTAGAATTATCATTTAGTTCTTTCTGTGTGTGTGTGTATATATATATATATTTGTAACAGAATGCTTATAGGGGGACTGCAATGATATACAGTGTCCCATAGGCATTCTTTCTCCAAAGCTAGCGATTTCTACCACTTAACTATGGTCACCGAGTCATTTTCGAAAAGGGGTTTATAGAAAGGCAGAACATGAATTATAAATTTTAATGTAATGCTGAACAAAGCAGAGTCTGCATTTTTCTTATTCTAATTCCAATGTCTGCTGCTTTTCAGTTGATATCAAGGCTTTATACTTTCGTGATAAAATATACATTAAAAATATGCTGCTGCTTGTTCGTATCATGTTGTAGCATGTTTATGTATGCTTTATCAAGATTTTTCCAAACTTTAACAGTTCAGCAATTCTGCAATTATCCTTTTGGATTTTATCCAAAGTATGAAACTAAGTGATTCATACAAAGCAAGTGATTTTATACATTTTGTTTCACTACCACATTAAAAACTTTCTACTGAATATTCTAGTCAATTACACCCTAGTTCTTTTCAAAAATTTACAAAAAACATGGTCAATTTCTTATATGACTTTCAAGGGTGTCACACACTAAATTACAAAATACTTCAAATGGTATATTTCAACCAGCTCATTAAATTTGGATTGGACATGTTGATGATTTCAAAAACATTTTATGACTTGAATATTATTTTCATATGACATGATTTTATGAACATGCATTTGATACACTTAATCTTTGACCAATTAATTTTATATATGAATTAAAAAATGTAAGGTATGAGCTAAAAACTGTTTAATAATTCTTTCTCATTTCTGCAATATTTGCTTCATATTGGTTACAAAATTACATAATTTAAATTCATTTCCAAAAATGTTACTGCCATCAACAGGGAAAAAAAGTAAATTTTCACTTTTAAGTAGTGTTAATGATGTATCAATATTTGTTAAATATACAACATAATCAGCTGCACAAACACACAGGCAGATTATTAGTTGATTGTGGGTACTCAACAAACCATTTAACATCATACATACTGTCTGATTAACTAAAACATTATTATATTTCCCTTGGTTACTTCTTGCCTTTTTAAGCTCACACTTCAAAACATTAAAACAACTTCAAACAAAATTATAAGAAAAATCATATGGGAACTTACAGGGAACAGGTTTGAACGCCGTCGAGTTTTGCGAGAAGTGGTAGGAGTAGAACATGGTGTTGGAAGATCTTTACATTCTTTTGGTGGGGCTATGGTCGAAGAAACCAGGACTTCAATTCCAAGATTTCGGTCTTTCTCTTTAGGTTCCCTTACAGATACGGCACTGCTATCAACTCTATCCTATAAAATAATAAGTTAATATAAACATCCATTTTAGAAAATTTATATTGAATATAAACAAACAACAAAAATAATTCTTAAAGTGCTACATGTAGCCTTTTTATCAGAAAATCTCAAGAGCTTATTAATATGTATACACCAGGTGTTACAGGCCTGCACATTCGCCTGACAGTGTATTTGGTGTTCTTTAACACAGTATTAGCACCAGGTAATGACCTCATTTAAACAAAGTTTTGCCATAACTGGCACTTCATCAAACATAGCATTCCAGGGAAAAAGATATGCCTTAATTTGGCACAGTAATACATATTCCAAATTCACCTTGTGACGAAGTACTAGTTTTTATCCACATATAGTGTGCACTTTACCATTATTTCTTCGGCTTCTATAAATATTATGAAGTGTATTTCAGCATAGTTCATGAGACCATTATTTCTTCTGCTTCTAATATGTACTATGAAAAGTGTAGAGTAGTTCATGAGAGTTATACAGCTGATACTGGATTGGAAAGGGTAATGCTAAACACAGAAATGGCATAAAATGCATTAAATACAACACTAAAATAAGGAAAAAGAATTAAAACATTTAGAAACTTTAAAAACAATCCCTGGCAGCATGCTGCTGTAGTAAATTTAATGCAAGAACATATTGTCACAAATTTTGTATGCAAATAATTTTAGCGACATTACAAGTAAATTATAGTATGGCTTGCATAACGTAACATGAAATGCCTCAAGAATAAAAAGCTGCCCTGAAGAAATAAGATTACACGGCCAAGTCCACTTAACAATGAGGTAAATGGTTAACAAAAGCTACTGGTGATTTTGGAGACTAATTTTTGTTGTCAAAAATGCGGATAAATCGCCAAAAGTAGCCAAACTTCACGACTCTTTCATGACATTACATTTTAGTCTGATCCCTATATAAATGTAACCGGTTCGATTGATATGTAACTGTATCCAACCTATGCCTTCTAGAAATTTTGTGAAATCAAAAGTACTGGAAATTTCTTTAGCAGCTGAGGAAAATTATACAAGATCAGAAAAAGCATCAGTTTTCAGTTCAGAGCAAGAGTTCAGAATTTAGCTCAGAGTAATGACAGATCACTATGTGGAAGCTTATGCAATGACTTTTTATATTGTGTTGTGTTTAACATTCGTAGCAGTTTGAAATGGTAACAATTGATTATGCTCTGTCATACTGAGAAAAGCTGTATGAGTACTTCTGCGAAAAGATCCTGAACTGCAAAGTATTTCTTTTGAGAAAATAAATTTTATCAAACTATCTTTGGTTCTGTGTGCATTCAATCCATTACAAACATGTGCACACATAACAATATGCAATTTTAAAATCACTCTTTGAATAAAAGATATAAATATACAAAAATACCAAATGTGAATTTTGTAAGGAATTAAAAGGCTTTTCTCCCATGCGCCTCTGCATTCCATTCTGTTTATTCCAGAAATTCCAAGTCAGACTCTACGCATGAGCACAGTGAGGTTTTTTTTTTTTTAAATTTCTTGTTCCAAAATTTGCAAGAGACAGTGCCCAAATTATGAATGCAGGATGATAATTCATCACCAACTAAGGCTGGTCAACACATCTACATAAAGATACAAGAAATGCTCTGCAAACAAGTTTAAAATTAACCATAAAATTATTTTCTAGAAATAATCTCAAGAAGCACTGTTGCAACTTTAACATAATTCATGAGTTAAAATTTAAGATGATCGCTCTGAAAAATAACGTAAGAATCCATGTAACAGCATAAGAATAACAGAAAAGGCAAGAAATGGAACTTAACATAATGGTAGTGCTTCCTTCTAATAAAAAGAAAGAAAAGAGTTTAGGCAATGTTGCCCATTACTCTTCTGCCATTTGAACATTTAAAACAAAGATTTTAAATGGTTATTCCTGTGTAAGGTAAATAGTAAATGAGTAGATAAGATCCGAAACTGCCACCAAATATATAGTATTAGTAAAAGATCCCATCTCTAAATTCAGGGGGGGTTGGTTAAATCGTTAAAACATCCCAACTGGATGAACAGCCGATTCAATCCCTCCCAAACCACCAAATGCAGCTCTTGACCAAAGAAGGGTGCAATGGTGAGTTTGAAAAATAAATTAAATAAGGACGGACAGGGTACTTCGTTAAGCCAGGTGGCGTATATAGATTTGATACCTGTATTCATATTCTAAAACACAACTGTGAGAGGGAATTCCCTGCATACTTTCTTTTACAAAAAAAAGGGGGGACTCACAGGATGTCTCATCGCTTGCTAAGAAATGGGACTTACTTGGGTATGGTTTTTCATGACAGTATATAAAAATTTACACATATTTTATCGATTTTCACTTTAAGTTTAAACAATCTACTTTATATTTCAAATGAAATTTTAGCATATTTCAAATTTCAAGATTTAAAATACATTTTGAGTTAAACTGCAGATTAAACTTTGAAACACAGAATTTATATATATATATATATATATTATTAATAGAGATTATCCCCTTGGAAAATGAACATCAAATTACTGTTATTATAAAACTTAGCAAATAGTGTCCTTTAATCAAGAAGAAAATTTAATATATATATATATATATACACACACACAGTCATTTTCATTTTTTTAACGATTTTGATTTTCTTCATGAATTTAAATATTAATTTTAAAATACAAACACGACTGGCATCAAATTGGAATAAGGTTTAATTATTGTCTGCAGGATGAAAAGCATTTTTTTCTTTAAAATGTCGCTAAAAAATAAACAATGGATTGAAGGCTATATTTTTGCTCTATCCAAAGAGAAATGCTCTTATTTAATTATTAAAAAAGATAAGAAAATAATGGTTTCAATATTTCTACACGTAAAATAAGTGACATAACTGATATAAAAGGAAAGAAACGTCAAAGTTTATATCTGACTGGGGAAAAGGCAAAAAATGCATACTCAACAAAAGTACGTACAGCTCTTATAAAATCTAAAGTCACATCCCATGTTTTAAAGGAAAATCTAGCCCCCAAAGAGCTATTGCAAAATCTTTAAATATCTCCATAGTAGTGACCAAAATCTTCTCCAATGAGCAGGGGTTAATGGTTATCATGCAAACAGACCACCATTATGTACAGGTTACCACGCAAACAGACCACCATTATGCAGCTTCCAGGCAATGGTAAAACACGATATTGGTTGTCCAATCGCCGTTCGATGTGTCTTGAGATTTCTGCCACCGCCTCCCACCTGTTCCTTCTTGCTATACGGCAATATACCAATCATCTGATGCTGTGGTCTCACGGACGACCACTGTTTAACTGTCAGACAGCTGTTCCTGTAGTTTGGCATGCTCTCCAAATTCGTGAAACAAAGCCGTGTGTAATCCGGAACTCCCTCTTCTTTCCAGTGATTCGAGCTCGGGTAAAATTGTCCAGTTGTTATCTAACAGATTGATTTTTCAGCATTTCACACTAAGGGAGCAACTTGACAATGTTTAAACTTATATACGCTTTGAAAAAGGCTTCCCAGAAATGATAACTTCCCAGGTGGCTCATACTGCCAGTGACCTACCCCTCCAACACTCCTCCATTATGTGCTACCGTACCCAACTTTAGTTGATCTTCTGATTGGTTTTTCATTCTGCTCTTCCTACTCTGCTGATAAGCTAATTTTTCAAATTTATCCTTAATTTTTGCACACCAGAATGATATATATATATAAGCAAAAAGTAAGAAATGTTAATTTAAAATAATATATTATTAAAGTTGCAAAATTAATTGAATAATTAGAAATCTAAGCAAATCAAAATTAGATCATGAACCTCTAAGATCATAACCCTCTAAGAGGAAATACATACCAAAATAAAACAAAAGCATGGCCAAATACTAAAATTGTAATTAACATTTAATTAATTGCTTGCAGATGCTTTGATCTGATGGTTATGCTAATTCTTACTCTGAATCTTTTTTATAATTTTTTAAAATTTTTATGGGGGAGGTACGTCAGAGCAGGTTATATCTTAATTAAATTATAAATTAAAAAAAATTACTTTGTTTCATTTTAAAGCATTTTGAGATTTTAATTATTAACTATCTAATTGGCATATTCATTTAATTTTTAATTTCAAATGTTTCCAGTATTAACTATCTAGCATCTCATGAGAAATGTGGCTCTGCTGAAAATGTTTCATTTGCTCCTTGGATAAGACCAACAAGTTTTCAACAAATTTTTATAACAGTTTTATTAATTTTCTTTTTTTTAATTTTGATTTAATGCTTTTTTTTTCCAATTTTGATAACACAACTTTACATATATAAGCAGTGAAAATTCTAACTCAGGGCTGAAACGCTGTCTTATAGAAAGAGAAAACATAAATTAATTGTGCATTAACAAACAAACAAAAACAAAAAAAAAAAAAAAAAAAAAGAAACCTACAAATTATAATAGAAATCCTATAAAATAAGGAGTAAATGTGAAACAATTCATGCTAGAAGTAGCCACATCGTATTTCTTTCTTTCACGTGATCTGATTTTGAAATAGGTTGTGATGTCTTGCCAAGATCTGTAAAAAGATTTATGCAAGTTTAAGATTTAACCTTTTCAGGGGCTGGGACATATATGTCCCACACTTCAACTTTAAAGGGTCAAAAATTCGCAAACTAGACAGATTAAAAATTAATCCTAATATGGATTAGAAAGTGCAAGACCGGTCGATTTTTTTTTTTCCTTTGATTAAAATAAGTACTAAAGGCATAATAGTTGAAATTGCGCCCCTATAGCAGGTCCTCTTGATATTGAAGACTGTAGTTTTCCCGCATTCTATTACATACGTAAAGACCTAAAAGGCCAATCTTAGTGATACTAGTCTTTGTATAGTATTTGAGTTTAGCTCTTATTTAAATTTAGTTAGTTTGAAGTTCTTATTTTTTTAGTTCAGACCACAAGTACTGGTCTTTGTATCCTGAAGTGTGGGAGCAGCTGCAAACCATGAAGAATAAAGGGTAATTAAATCCTTCCCATCTTTGTCATATCTTCTACAATTTCATCGGACATACTTTAAAGTAAACTCACTATTCTTCTCAGGACACCCACATGTTCGCCAAAGTGATTAGACGAAATAGTGGTCCTGATAATGGCGCCCGAAGAAGAAAACGCATGGCCAAGTTTCAAGAAGAATTTGATGTACCTGCAGCATTCGCTCAGAATCCAGAAATGCCAGCCACCAGCCTAGAAAAATTGGGTACATAGTCCAGACCATGCAGGCAGCAATGAAGCTGGCAGCAAACTTTGATGGGAATTCACCGGTGAATAATTTATTGGAGAAATTAGATGTCCATTCTATGTTGTATCCAGTCCATGAATTCCAGAAAGTGACCTTAGCTACCAGCACTTTGAGGGGTCAAGTGCTTAATTGGTTCAAGTGTATCGGAAAAAAATCTCTTGGGTCGACCGGGAATTCCCACTCATACTTACAAAAATTTCAAAGCCGCCTTAGTAAAGGCCTTCCCAGTAGTAAGAAATTGAGCCAAGTTGGAGGTGGAACTCTTTAGTATGTACCAGCAAAGAATTGAAGAGCTTTCAAGTTTTATTTTGAGAAAAATATATTTAAACTCCTGTATGGAAGCCAGACAGATTCTGAAACAAATCCAGGTGATTTTGCCTAGATTACTACCACAGGTACAAGACTTTATTCAATTAAGGAATCCTACGACATTGAAAAAGTCATTCAAGCTTGTAATCCAGTTTGAAACTAGAAGAACAGTGGACAACGAAAGAAGACGCCAGTATGAGCAACGAAGCCCATGTGGTGCACCAACGCAATGGCAGAGGCAAGGACAAGGAAGGAAATTAAATCAGTGGTCAAAGAAACCTGAAAATTCCAAAAACAACCGGTGAACGTCGGCAGTTCAATAGTAAGCAAGACAGAAAATATGAAAGTCAGCAAAAAGGAATAAAAGAAGGCTCAGAAAAGAATAAAAGAGATTTAAACCAAAACAGATTTCTGCTGATGGGAAGGTGCAGAAATCCCAAGGCCAAAAAATCTCTCTACCATCAAGCTGAATATAGTCATTGTCAAAAATTTAATTCTACCAAAAATTGAAGTTCTAGTGAATAATATCCCAGCTACCACCCTCCTGGATACAGGAGTTAAGTGTAGCTTTGTGTTGGAAGACTTTTTTTAAAAATATTTTTGTAGATATAGAATCTACAACATGGATGGTACGATGGTGATAGCCACCCAGGAGGAAAGATGTAAGTGTATAGGTAAAGTGCCCTTATATATCCGGATTAAATATTATGTCCCTTATTGCAAAGAATCTTCAGACTTGCATCATTTTGGGAATAGATTTTCTTTCACATACTTGCCAACCTATGACACTCAAAAATCAGGAGATTTTTTTAAGAAATCGGGTGGTGTGGTGTATTTAATTATCGCAAAGCACACTAGGGCTATCTGCCTAAGAGGAGGGATGCCTTTCGTGGAGGACTTTCTAAGGGAAACTGGCTCGTATACACGTTACACATGGGGAAAACCACGAAAACGCCCATGCAGCCAGCCCGTTCGCGGGATTCGAACCTCGGACCGAACTACCAGTGTTCAGCGACTCCACCGCTCGGCCGCTGGTGGGCCTTAAGAAATCAGGGTTCTTTCACAATGTTAAAATAATTTTAACTAATTACTTAAATAGTTACTAGTCTTAAAGCAAGCAAAAAAACACCTTACACATAAAAAATTTTTATTATTGCACGTTTAAAAAAAAAAAAAAAAAAGCACTTTAACCTTTTGTGCAATGTTTGAACAGTGTTTTCTTTCGTTAAGAAAGAAACTTCATAATTTGTTCAGCAAATGCCACATAGGCTGCTTTCGCTAATAAAAGTTTTTTAATGTGTCATCACTAATATTAGATGTAAATTTAGTCCTCGTTATTTATATCCTTAATTTTGCAGTATTATTTTGAGAACTGCCAGTGAATTGCTTGATATGCAGAAATTACTCTATTTTTATCAACCTATTTTAACAATGGAAGTAGTAACTACATCTCCATTTATTTAGGTATTTTATAACTTTCAATAGAGCCTTTATCTTAACTCTCGAAGCATTTACTTCTTCTTTAAAAAAATGCAAGAAGTGGGTTCCATTGATCGAGGATTCTAGATAAGCATTTCTTAAAGACAGCCAGCGTGTGCACACATTTTTCAAAATTTTTCATTCAGTATTATGCAGCTGTGGAACTGTTTCAAATTTTTCTTCCGTTTAGAACTCCTTTCAAGATAATAATAAATATCAACATGTGTTCATCACATTTATTGGTAAAGAAGCTGCCCCTTTTTCAGCTGCTTAAAACTAAGAGGACAGGTGCACCTCAAATCTGCAAATCTGAATTTTGCCTTTCTTAAGCCTGTGATAAGCAATTAGCCAGAGGGACTGCATTTTCTTTTAAAGTTTTAATAATTACTGTGCTATAAATCTGTCGAATGTCCTTCTAAAGGGGACAGAAAGTAAACTGCACTCAATTTCTGAAGACTCGGATTAAAAAAAGAAACAACAATTGGATACAGTTTTGAATCGTATATCTTCCATCCGTAGAGAGGCAGAACGGAGCTGTTTTAATGCAAATCAATAACTGAAGATTTATTTTTCAAACCATTTCTTTAACAATTGCACCTGTTTTGGTCCTTACAACTGAATATTTCTTAGCGATTTCATTAGTGGGAAACATTTTTCTAAATAAAGTTGCAGCGTGATCCTATGCATTCAGTGGCAAGTTGTGCTCCAGCAAAAAGGCAGTTCTTTTTTTTTTTTTTTTCCCAAAACAACTCACGTTGTCCTTGTGTTTTTGTGTACACACGATTGAGAACATATACCCTTCCACCATGCGAAATCGAAAAATCACGACAGATGGTACACATCACAAATTTATCACATTTCCTTGAGGAAATAATGGAAGGAAAGTCAACTGTGTAC